TCACAAAGACAATACGAAGGAAACAAGAAGCTGCCCGATTTTTTTAGTAAGGCAACACGACTACGTGAAGCCCTCGCAATGCCGTCGTGTAGCCATCGTATTATAGTATGATGACATGTAGATGGGACCACGGTGTTGGCGAAGACAGCCGAATTTGAGTAGCTCAAACGTTTCCCATGTGTCATGGTAACGTGGACATATATCAGCGTCAGAGCATCTTCCTCAGTCAGTCCTGAGCAACTCTACAGAGCAGAGGCGTGTGGAACTCCCAAAGCTTCAATCAAAATTCATCACAATTCAGTTCCTGCAGAATGGCATACTTTGATGATGAGACAACCAGGAAAAAGAAGGCAGCAGCATTGCTTCTTTTATCCACCTCAGAGAACATGATGAGCAACTCTTACAGGCCCAGCACCTCCTCTTACAGGTAAAAATTGTCTTATTTCACTTTGTCATTTCTTGCTATTTGTGACCTGCTCTGTCGAAATCAGTAGCAGTGATGATACCTGTATTGAGCAGGTGAAACAGGAGCATGAGGGCACGGTGTGCTATGTTTCCTTGCAGATTGCTTCTCTGGTTGTTTTATTGCACAACAAAATCATGTAAACATATCATGTAAATAACCCAATTTGTGTTCAGTGAAACTGAAAAGGATATTACATTGTTTTTGTTACTTTCGTTACAGTTGTATGTCTTAAATGTAATTTAGGTTAACTTTCTGTTTTATTTAGATGCTTTTATTTTGAAGGCGAGTTTACGCTGTTGACAGGAAGTTGTTGTTGCTCTGGAAACAACATGCATTGATGTGTGGTTTGGGTGCCATTGTGTGGCCTTCTGCAGGCATCGTACTTGCTTTGGCTGTTGCTTGGCTGTTGACCAAGTTTGGGGGCCATTTTCATGCGAAATTCACAATTCCATATTCGTGTGTCCATCTGGTGTACATTGCGGGACAGTGTGACGCCAGCCTTAGCAGATGACCAATCACAACAGAGCCGGCCAGCTAACCAATCAGAGCAGACTGGGCTCTGGTTTCAGACAGAGGGTGAAGAGGTCCTTTTTGAACATTAAAGCATGGAAACATGTCACACTTTATCAAAACCCTTACATTTGACAATGTGTTTTAACATTATGTGCTACGTTTTTTATTGATTTCTTGAGCAAATCTACAATTTCTGGCATATGGATTGTTTGGTATGGTTAGTGAATAGTTGAAGTTTTGAGATCTATTTTTATTATCACGAATGCTATACTGTAAAGGTGTGGCAATAAACACTAAAGTATTTTTTGGTTGATGTAACTTTTAACTTTAAATTGAATTATTTTACAGTTGAAAGTTTTGACAAAAACCTTGTTTACCATGGTTAAGGTTAACCATGCCAAAACGCAACATCCTGCAAGAAACAGCGTCTGAGGGCTTCTTAAAGGTCCCATGTCATGCTTTTCTGGTTATTACCCGTCCCCTTGTGTGTTATGAATGTTTTTATGCATGTAAACGGTCTGCAAAGTCACAAACCCTGAAAGTACACCCTGTAGGGAGTAAAACTCTAACACAGAAAAGACCTGTCTATGCTGCACTGTAGGTGCGCTGCGTTTGGGGGTGAGGAGGGGGGTTGCGGGTGCTAGTGGAGCCTCGCAGATGGGGGTGCTGCAGCCCCCTCAGCATCCCCCCCTTCCCACGTCCAATCGCGATGTCTCGCTGTCTCGCAGACCCAAGCAGGAAATGAACCCAGCTCACACTGTCTGCTCCTCGCAGCGGCGAGCCGCGCAACGTCCCGCGCAACGTCCCGCGCAACGTCGGCACCCAGACCCCACGCAGCATTCTCATCTGTTTGTCCTTACTGGTGTCATTTTCTGGTTGCTAACACCATTGTAACACATAATCACTGATGTTCCGCTTTAAGGGTGGTAGACCATAGTGGTAGACTCATCTGAACAGAGTGTGCGAGCTGACCAATCAGAGCACAGTGGGCTCACAGGGAGGGGAGGGGTGGGGGCAGGAGCTCCAACAAGGCGTTTAGGACAGAGTGAATACACATACTATACAGAGATGCTGATGAGAAACCAATGTGAGTTTGGAAAATTGCACAATATAAATCTATTTTAGTATACCTCAACAATGGAATTATGATCAGTAGAAATGGCCATGACATGGGACCTTTAACATCCCGATAGCAATGAATACATGAAATGCTTCGACAACAAATATATACAAATATTTAATCTGTGGAAGCCGTGGCGTTGTAAAAAGGAAGTCCAATTATCTGCCCCGGCCCGACAGCAGATAACTGGATGGCTTACCCGTGCACAAACTTATCTCGTGCCCTCAGTGGTCATGTGAGCGTTCGTTTGTGTTGGAGGAGGGGCTCTGTAAGGAAGTCTAAAGGAAGGGGAAGATTTTTTTCGGTTGTGTTCTTTCAAATTCTAGCGCACTCCAGCTGGTTTCTCAATTCTTACCTACCTTTAAGTTGATAAACAAAAATGTGATTTATTGGACCAGATTGTATAACGCTCTATGAACAATTGTTGTATTGAGATGTATCTTGTTGGCTTGAACACAGACTTGCTTGTACATTTTGCTGACGTCAGTTGATCATAGCTGGTGATTGCTGGTGATTTCAAGCTGTAGCAGCGAGGTCTTTTCCCACCTAATCCTTCCTATGATTGACAGTTGATGATGATTTCCTCTCCATGAGTGTAACCATGGGTACCATGCTCCTTGCTCTGATTATAGATAATTGCACAGCTTCTCATTAGCTGCATGGCTACACCGCTCATTCTGCCATGATGTTTTTGCATGTCAACTGTACCTTGTGTTTAATTATTGTTCTTAGGTTCTTAAGTGTAATGGAAGACAGTCTGAAGTGTTAACTAGCCAGGGTCAAGATGTTATGTAATCTCTCTTTGTCTTACTTTACCAATGATGCTTGTTAGATGAAATAACAGCAGTTAGCTGATAACATTCCCTGCAGCAGTTGGCAGAAATGGGTCATTGCAGTTCTTGCCATTCTTGAGCTCAGCCATCATTAGGCTGGGTATATGATCCATACACACAACCAACTGTATTCACTCACACTTTGAGCCATGTTAGCTGTTCGATTGTGGGGATGGCAATCTGAGTCTATCCACTACATAGGAACAAAAAACAAGTAGGCTACTTTATCATTAATTTTACCTCTTTTTGTAGTTTTTCTGTGTCTTTTTGTAGTTGTTAACCATCCCTCTGTGGTTGTATCCCTCTTTGGGGTCCTTTTGTGTCGCTTTGTAATTGGTTTTGTCTTTTTCACATTACCTGTGGCCTCACAGTCATATATAATATATTTTTCAATTCATTGCCGACTCTACAGAGCAGTTGCACACTTTAAGAACTCTCAAATAAAAATGTTTAGCACTCTAGTTTTTGGATGAAAACGTGAGTTCATCTTAAATATAATTATTACACTGCTCAGTTGAATACCCAATTCTGATTGATCAATTGTGACATACCAAGGGTTGTTAATTGTCGCTATTATAATAGCGAAAATTAACAACCCTTGATGATAAACCCTCCTTAGCAACGATCTGTTCTCCTATACCAGGGGCCTAGGTTTTTCCCAAATTAACAAGTTGTATTTTTTTAGTATTGGGCAGTGATGAGAATAAACTGATTTTTTTGTCCAGTATTTTGAGTGTTTGTTTGTACAATGACTCCAGTGGTTTTAATGTTGTTGTACTGGCATGTGACCAGGTAGTTAAACAGTAGGTGATGTGTGAGAGAACCATAGAGTGTGTGTACATCAGAGATGCCTCTATTGACATGTAATCTCTGGTGTTCACAACATTTGCTGTGATCATATATGCATCCTTTAAGATCATTTCAGCACAGAGTGGAGTACAGCAGCATATTTACTTCAATATAAAGACTGCCAAGATTTCCATTTTCAACTGCTATATCCATTTTTTCATCATGCCTTACTTCACCACCTTCTTGATTTGATCGATTTCCAAAACTCAGATTTGTCAGCTGTAACACCCTGAGTATAAGGTATATATTTATTTGTTGTTTTTTCAATGTGAAACTCATCTAGCATGCAGGGCCAGTCTTGTGCTTCACTGAGCAAATAACTCATCACAGTGAGCCTGCAAATGTTATTTTCTAAGGTCACCTGTGAGCAAGCTTGAATGCAATTACAGTTGCGCTGATGCTTTCAGAATCTCAATTAAACAACACATGTCCTGCCCTAGTTATACCTGCAAGCTTAAAATAGTCACTATATTATGTGTTCAGTGCATTTACAGCCCTTTTAGTATACATATCACAAGCAGCTCATTTCACCCTTGTGGCGCAGTTTTGTTCTCCCTCATTTATTTCTCTTTCCTTTTTTTCTTCTGGTCACCACAGGACTTCAAGCTGTTGCTGAATCCACTACTGAGGGTGTCTCAGTGGAAATTGCACCGAGAGTTTCATTAAAATGATTATCAGATACATTTTTCCCCACTCATTTCATACTCTTACCTTAATTTCTCTGATATTATTATTATTATTATTGGCATGAAAATCTAGAGATACAGTATGACCACGTTTTTGAGCAAGTCCACGAATCTCTGATAACACCACCAACTTAGTGAGCTCCTGCAGAGGCTCTTAACAGAAGATTAACTTTAAATCAGGCCCTTTAGGATAGTTAGTCCAAAAGGTCTTCAGTTGTTGTTGAAGGACTCATTAATAATGATCATGTGGGTCAGTAAGTCCTGGTATTTCTTGTCCTCAGTCCATTCCCCCATATTATCCAGTTTCTCTATCCAGAGGTTGTATGCTTGTGTTGTCTCCTGTTGTTAACAGAGTTGGGAGGGTTACTTTAAAAATGTATTGCGTTAAAATATTTTTAATCAGTAACCTAATCTGAGTAGCAAAATATAAGAGAAAATAAATATCGATAATATGTTGATTACCTAGGTGTACTATTAAAGACAGCAGAACAATGTAACCTCGAAAAGAGGAGACCAAGATATTTCTGATCAAAAATGTGTCATCTGTTTTGAGATTGTTTTTATTGGAAAACCTGCCTTTCATTGAGCATAGTCAGGCAGCAGCTATACAACAACAATGAAAGACATGAGAACATAATACACAAAATAATAATCGACAGGTAAAGGAGTATGAATTCACACTTAATATCTTAATCCACATCACAGCTGGGAGGAAATACATCAATATGCTCCTTTAACAACAAACACAGTAGAACTTAGACCAAAACTAGATCACATCTTAATGTGCCGCATCTCCTTTGACCACTTGTGGTATACAGAAACACTTTTTTGCAGCTGAAATTGTTACAATGGTGCACTGTGTTTGGGGAAGGAAGTAATTATTCTAGGCAATCAACTTGTTTTGTAAAATGTCAGATTACCAAGAGCGGCATTGTTGTTCTGGTCAATATGTGTTTGATAACCCATGCTAGATAACATCCTATTATATAGGGCTCATTGCATGGCAGTTTGAAATGACTGAAGGCTATGTGACCGACCTTATAACAGTGCACACGTTTGTTCTTAAGAGCACCACAGCTACCAAGATCCACACATTATATTTTAACATATTTGAAATGTAGAGCATCAGCAGTTTATTAAAGTGAGTAATATTGACTGGACGTCCCAGGTCAAAACTATCTTGAAAGCAATTATTCCACCAAGCCTCTCAGTTTGACGCAAGCAGCAGGGACAGTGGACCTGCAGAACGAGGACATGTCATTGCTCCGAGAGAACTACTTACAGAAATGATTTCGTAACGACACAATAAGTATTTTCAATCAAGAACAGACCTTATCTCCGTTTCCAGGGAAGGGGTCAAAGCCATGAATACCTGACTGCAGAGAAAGGGAGAGAAGATGTTTGCCTAAAATATTAATACAGCTAAGAAAATTGGACTGAAAATAAAAGCCACCAGCTGTTAGAAAAATGATAACAGCTTGGTATACATGTCGCGAAATGTTTACCTGCTTTGAACTTTATCAGCAGAATGAATGTCAGGTGCCCTGTTATTTTGGAGCAGGTGTTGTTGCAATACGCTATTTTCTAATTTGCTCAATAGGATGTTATTTTCCGTTGGTAAACTGAATCACCACAGGAGGGTATAAAACTGTTAGGCAGCCTCTTGGTTGGTATTAAATGTCTGGAGGATATTAGTTATCTATGATGCGGTATAAACAGCGACAGAGTCCATGTAGGGAGGAAGTTTTTTGTGGATTGTTAGATAACAAAACTCTGGTCTTTATCCAAAAGTCAACATGTGGAGTTAATCTCAATGACGTACTTACCTTATGCACGTTAACTTAAAGTAAGTGACAAACATACTCCTTTAAACCTCAAACATGGTTTTTCTTTAGATACAACCAAGGATTATTGTTCAAATCCATAGCAGTTGGTTTTTTAGCATTTTTCTTGAAGCATTATAGTGGTACCAAACAATATGGTCATGTTGTGTTACATCTTTTAGTGTCCATGTTCTCATTTAAATACCTGCATTGCCTGGTCTTTCCTCCATAAGCCTTTAGGGTAAGGTTCTTAAGAAACAATCAGCCGATGGAGTTTGCCCGGTTGTCATGGTGATCATTTGAATATCCTTTTTCCTGAACATTTTCATACATTTTAGCTTAAAAGCTGAGGTCTTTAGAAAAAAACTCACCATGAGGTCTACTTCACTTTGATTATAATCAATCATATTGATCATGTGATCTCCATTTGAAACATAACATTAGCTGAACATGATTTGTTTGGAAAAAGCCCACAACACAGGATGAAGCTAGTGCAGATCAAACCCTCAAGAGCAGCTAATTGTTACGGTAGAGCGAAGGACGCAGGACCCAAATGCAGGTTAAACTGATTCTACCTTTATTTCAAGGATAACGAATAGAACTTGGACAGACAGCACACTCACCGGTGAACACAGTCAACAACAAAAGACGAACCAACACTGAACACAGGAAGAGACAAGACTAAATACAGGGAGGGGTAATCACGAGACGAGAAACAGCCGGGTAGGGGAGGAGAAACACAAGGGCAACAGGTGAACACAATCAGACACACCAGGGAAACTAACGACCAGGGAGGAAAAACACAGGGAGAGGGACCAGACAATACACAAGGAGAAAAACATGACAGGGAGAACCGAACAGCAAAATAAACCCAATACAAGACATACAAAACCAAAAACGTGACATAACACAAGAATTGTGACACTAATACATGCAGCTTGTGGTCATTAGGAACTGCTGTTTCCAAGGTAGATAATGTACCTTGAATGTTAATGTAGAAATGTTACCACTGCTCTAAAAATACACACAATACAACCACAAATTAGAAATCCTTTGTTTATCCTAAAGCGTGGAAATATACAGCATAACAGCAAAGGTGGCAGAAAGCAGAATAAAAAGAGTATTTAATAAAGAGGTGACCACAAATTCCCTTTACATGTTGAATCTGATTTGAGTTGTCGTTCAAGGCTCCATGTTTTAAGCCAGAGCAATTATTTCGGCAGAGATAATTGGTAAAAGTCATTTAGGCTCTCCAGGCTGTAGAGAAGCTCTGTTGTTTGGGAAATTATTGCAATACTCCAATCTAATAAGCAAGCTGTCACTGCATAACATAACACACATTTCACGGCAAATTGTTATATGCATTACATTTATTTGATTTGCAGTCGTAACGCATACTTGTAACAAAACAGGCATTTAATAAAGATCACGGCCTCAGGCGTTTGAGTGCCATGTGATACTGAGAGTCTGAGAGATAACAAGATTATTCTTCTCACAGTAAAAAAGCTGTAATGTGGTGTGGCTCAAAGCTTCAGGTGTTTGGATTTAAAGTGAGGATCCCAAGACTTAAACTCAACTTTGTGACATGGTCATGGGAATGAATTATATGCTATCATCCGTCATACAGTCTGTCATCCAACTGCGTATGTCTCTTATCTCCACAGACAGAGAGACAGGGATAGAAGAGAGATCCAGAGTTGGGTGCTCAGCAAACAATTGTGTTTGTATAGAGCTGTTATGCAGTCTGTGCTGGCATTGAGTGTATACCGCCATTCACAGAAGTTAGCCAAAGTGTTAAAAAGTTGTTTTCTTTTTGTCATTTCTGAGTAATTTAAATTCAACTCTAATGATGTTTTATAACTGTCTGTATCCTTGGGCTGATGTCAAACTTCCCACCCTGCCTTCTGCCATAAACTGAATGCTTTTTGGATGATGAGTGTGAAAGCCCTGGGTGCATCAACTAAGGGTTAGCAGATTGCGGTCACAAGGGGGATGCATATGAGTAACTTATAGATCAAGAGCATGTGGAGCTGTGCAGAACTGAAATGGTGCCTTCTCTCTGATCTAATATTTAAAGTACAGCTTCAGAGTTCTCCTGGGGAATACATATTGATTTATTTACATCCACAATTTCACTTATGCATAGAGTTTATGTTGTGTTGACTTAAGATCAGGTCCAATCAAGTTCAAGTTTCTGCCTCTCGTTATATAAATCTCATTTTAAATCATGAGGCATGCTATATAGAAATGTCTTCACTTTATTTGAAATAATTCAAGTAAACATAGCCTTGTTGTGTATTCATGGCATACAAAGACAAAAATAAAATATATATTGTAATCCAAAGTAACTGAAAAGTCCGGTAGCAGTAGTGCACTGGTTTAACTCCTCCAACTATCAAACAAGGCAGTATTTTGTCAATAGGCCTGTGACCTTTTTTTACCTCTGTACACATAACCCTGCAGTCAGGTCATCGTTTGTTTACCGAACTGAGCCGCATGACGGTTTTTTAAGGGAAAGGTCATAAGCTGAGAGGAAATCAACATGAGAACAGTTGCTCGTCCCTCCCAAGTAATACTTCCTGTGGTAGTCTCAAAATATGTTGTGCACATGCTTATGAAATGGATGTTTTGTTATTGTACAGGAAGCCAACTGTGCATACAGTATGTGTCCCTCCCACAAGGTAGTGTGTGTGTGTGTGTGTGTGTGTGTGTGTGTGTGTGTGTGTGTGTGTGTGTGTGTGTGTGTGTGTGTGTGTGTGTGTGTGTGTCCGTTCGTGCATCTGTGTATTTGTGCATGACACCGTGTGCGTGCATCCGTGTGTGTGTCTTCGTCCATGTGTGTGTGTCCGTTCGTGCATCTGTGTGTGCCTGTTTAGAGTGTGTTTTGGGATAGTTCGACTGACAGATTTTAAACTTACCCTGAAGACCAGTATGTTCTCTCATTTTGCTTCAGGCTCTTATCTGTTCTTATTTATTTACAACAAAACGATCGTCTGTGGGGTTTTTCTGTGTTTTATATAAATTAAGTACATTTTTTCAGGTCTGTGGCAAGCTTTGGTTTATAATGTGTAATATTGAGTAACTCTCCACTGAGACGAATAACTTGTGAAAGTAATTTCTCAAAACGAACAAACAAAACAATCCCCTTGGGCTTAAGATAATTAAGAGTTCCTTTTCCTTTTTTCCAGACACTGGCCAAACAAGGAAACGATTAATTAAGAAAATAAGTAAACAAAAAGTTGTCAATTAAAATTATCACAACTTGCAGCACTACTCATATTATTTTTAGTAGAACATAAACAGAATCACCAGATAAGACAGCCATTCCTTTTCTGCTTTAAAGAGCAAGAAAGCAACATTTTGACTTGCTTAATTGACTTAATTACTCAAAAGAGCATTAGTGTTTCCCTCCCGGCTTATCATTTTTACAGCATGTGCATTTTTTCCGATGTGTGTTCGGTGTCCTAATGACCACACTGACCCTTTAAAAGCATAAGAACTCTAATACAGAGAGTTGGAGAAACGTGTTTAAAAATGCTGAAAAAAGTTTCCAAATCGTCAATTATTTATCTTTCCATAAAATTGCAAAGACATTTTGTTCTGGTTTTATTGGCCTTGTGATCCATGTCGACTGATATTATTTATATGGGTAGGGTACTTTGATGTTATTAAAATGGTCCATCCGTTCATTACTTGCTTGTCCTCTCCGTGGCTTAGTAACTAATGATATGAGTCCCCTGAGAAAACACAATTGCATTTTTAAAAGCCACAGCTCACTCTTTAGAGCTGTACATATGGACATCAGAGGACATGGAGTGTTGGACCAGAATAAATGACACAGACGATTATTTATAACAATAAAAAGCAAGACATGCTGTGTGAGATGATGTACTTTTTGCTACGGATCTGTTGATCTGCAATGTACGGAGCCCCCTAGGGCAACCTTTCCCAAACTCAGGGTCGCGACCCAAAATGGCTCGCGGACCCGTTTTGATTGGGTCGCCAGTTAAATGCATTGCTACACACACGCAGCGTCAGAGCTGATGGCGGCGTTGCAAATACCATTTTTTTTATAATTTTTGTATTTTATTTTTTATTTTGAAAATGAAATTATGCAATATAGCATTGTATATTGAATGATTTAATTTTCTAAATACAAATAAACTAAAAATAAAAGATTGTATTTGTATCAGCTCTGACGCGTCCCCCGCGAAAGTTTTCGCGCTGTCTGTTTATTGTCTGTTGATTAATCCCGATCGTACATGATGGCAGAAAGACAATACAAAGATGAGTTTTTAAACGTTGGCTTCACAAAAGCTGTTAGAAATGGAGAGGAGCGGCCTCAGTGTGTTTTATGTGGAGAGGTGCTCAGTAACGAAAGCTTGAAAATGAATAAATTGGACCTGCATCTCCAAACAAAACATCCTCTGCATCGGGACAAATCGAAGGATTTTTTCATCTGCAAAGAAGAGTCTTTCAAGAAGCAGTGTTTTGACGGCGGAAAAGTAATTCATTCATTTTAATCATTTGTTTGTGTTTTTGTGAGTTTGTCAGGGTCTGTTGTGAAATTGTTTCGTTAATGGAAAGTTGGATGAAATGCAGACTGAGCCCCGGAGCGGACCGCCAGCTGCGCTCTCTCGCGCGTCCTCTACTCGCTCCCGCGAGTCCACTCCATTCTGCAGCGGCACAGAGCGGTGTTTCAAAACAATAACCACAGGAAGATTAGAGGGTAAGTGACAGGTAGTATGAGAAGGAAAGCGAGAGAAAGTATCAGCCGCACGGACGTGACTGCTGCAGTGTGATGCACATAGGAATACATATGGGGGTTATTCCCTATCTTTATTCAAGAGCATGGTCTTTAAATTTGAGAGCATACTTTATTGATTTCACGTTCAGAATATGTATTTCTTTCCCTCAAACCCTGTCCTCACACTCAAATAGTGCCTGCTTGCGCTTAGATTTGCTTTGCTTCTGCTCAAACTGTACGCTTGCACTCAGATATATTGCTACGCTTACAGGTTTCCTGTGTTCCAGTTTAAAACCTGCTCCTTGCACTCAGGCTGTTTCTGTGCGCTCGTGAAATGTCTGCTCTCAGATTTCTTCTGTGCGCGCTTGGATCTTTTGTGCAACAACCCTGTCAAAATCCCTCTGTGGGGATTCCCCACAGTATTGAGTATGTAGTCGCTTTGGATAAAAGCGTCTAACAAGTAACATGTAATGTAATGCGCTATAAATGCGATTGCCAGGTCCACATTGGGTATACAGCGTACGCCGGCTGGTATTAAAAATCACCCAATAACCCAGCAATGTTAATGATAATATCTTCTCTGTTATTTTCAGGCATTCAAAGGGAACAGAGGGGCACCCTATCAAGTCAGCCTCCCCAAAAAAAAAGTTAATCAGTTGCCAAGTGTTGGAGTTTCTTTGTCTCTCAGAGTGTTTTAAAACAGCTCTGTTCATTTAAAAGTGTTTAAAAAATGTGTGTACATAGTTTTTGATCTAGTGACAAACGTAATGTTGCACTTCTGATCATTTAAATTTGGTTTCACCTGTGATGTACTGAATACACTTGACTGAACTTCAGTTAGTGTTTTGTCCCTTTCTGTTTACAACATGTTTGTTCTTTGTTCATTTAAAATAGTTTAAAATGGTGTGTACATAGTTTTTGAGCTAGCGAC